TCCTCACGTCAAAACTAAGAGTGAACTCCAGATTTACAATGTTGGTTTCCTCTTTGAAAGATTGGCCATCGATTTTCTAGACCCTTTCCCTAACTCTTCTTCTGGAAATCGTTTCATTCTTGTTGTTACTGATTATTTTTCCAGGTGGCCAGAGGCCATACCTCTTCCTAATCAACAAGCTTCCACTGTAGCTGAAGTCCTAATCAAGGACATCATTTCTCGTTTAGGAATTCCTCATGAAATTCATTCCGATCAAGGTCGAAATTTTGAATCCTTGATCTTCAAAGAAATTTTAAACCGCTTAGGAATCCAGAAAACTAGGAGAACCCCTCTTCACCCCCAATCCAATGGAACGGTGGAACGGTTGAATAGAACGAATTATTTAGCAAAGTTGATTAATTTCAAGCAAAAAGATTGAGACAAATGGATCCCACTTTTTCTCCTCGCTTTCCGTTCTTCGAAACATCAAACGACTGAGTATAGTCTAGCCAAGTTGATGATGGGTCGTGAACTCAAAATTCCTTTAGATCTGATTACAGGTTTCCGCCCGAATGATTCTTCTCAAACTCTTCCTGAATACGTGGAGAATTTCAAGATTCAACTCGATTCAATTCATTCCGATATTCGTAATAAGCTTCAAGTCAAGAGCGATTGAATGAAATCGAGATTCGATATAAAAACCAACATAATTCATTTTCAACCTAACCAAAAAGTTTTGTTCTTCAATCCACGAAGGGTTAAAGGAAAATCTTCCAAACTTCAGTGTGATTGGTAAGGACTTTACGTAATTAAGAATAAATTGAATGACGTAGTTTACCGCATTCAAAAATCTCCTCATTCGAGACCCAAAGTAATCCACATTAACCGGATTGCTCCATACGAGGATTAACCCTCTTCTCCTTCTTTCCGTTCATTTATTTATTATTTCTTTTATTTTGTCTATCGATTACTGGCCATAATTGACAGATGGATAATTTTCTTTATTTTTCTCCTGCCGGGAAGCTACTCCATCTTCCTTTTCTTCTTTTTGAAGAATAATTATTTGCATTTCCATTCATTGTTTCGTCCTTATACTTTGATTCTGCCCTGCTTCTTTTCTCTCTTTCAAATACTCTCCTCATCGAGTCATCCTTGGATTTACCTGTTGCGCGACCCGATTTTTGACTTCACTCAAAACCACGACTTTGACGAATCAATTATTTCGAATCAATCCCTATTCTCTTTTGTATTTTCCATCTGGGTTTTCGAAGAGAATATGGGTTAAGGATACCGGATAAATTAAATATCACTTTTCCTTTCAAAACTGATATTTATTTTGCCCTTAACAGGTTTGCCTGATTGTCGGGACGACAATCTTCTTTCAGAGGAAGGAGTAGTGTTATGATTGACTATATCTTTCCCTCGGAATACTTCGGCTCTTTCCATCTTAACCTCTCCTCTGAAATATTACCTTGAGTATTCCAACCGTTTTCATTCATCATTAAAAAACTCCTAACTTCTCAGCCATTAACGGTCATCACAGCAATTTAATCAAAAAATAATTGAAGAATAGAATGAAAGAAAAATAAACCAATTCATCCATTAATTGCCAAAGTTTCGAGTACACAAAGTACTCTTCATCAGAGCATAAATTTATTCTAATTATTCAACCCATTACTGAAGGGTTGAGACAGGAAATATTGCACATGTCAAAGCCCATAGTAGCCTTCATGAAAGTAGTAAGGACACTAATAAAGTCCTAATCATCACAGAAACTAAAGATAAAAACATGCGGTTTTTCTATTATTGTATGTAGAGTGAGTTTCCATTATGGCCGGACAAAAAAAGGACAGAGCGATCGAATGAAATCGAGATTCGATACTAAAACCAACATAATTCATTTTCAACCTAACCAAAGATTTTGGTTTCATTTTTTTGTTTCTCTTTTAATACCCATGCACGTTTCAATATTCTTGAAAATGAATAAAAAGAATTATACATGATGAGTCTCCTTCTGGAGCACTGAGCTCCAAATGAACTGTCAGAAGAGAATAATGGTCGGAAATAATATCCAATACTAATACAAGATTAATATTCAAAATTAATTCGCAATAAAAATATTCACAAAAACATAACTTTCGAGAACATCTTCAAAATTACTATAAAAAAGTAGTTAGACGCTCGAAATAGAATTTCACATTAAAACAGAAACGAAATGATAAAGCCCATAATGTTCTAATTAACAACAAAATATTTTATACTCGACCTAAAAAAAAAGAAATTAATTTTCTCGCAATGAATGAAAAACATCAATAAAAGCATATTACAAGTATTTCGCAACATTTAAATTTTCTCAAAATCATACGTGAAGAGGTCCAGACAAAAAGAATAATAATGATAACATAAAAATGAAATTTCGAAAATAATCCTCCCTATCATTCGCCCAACGATTTGAGTCTCGAAATAACCCCGCACATTCTACTCGCTACCGCCGATTTTTATTCCCGCATAACGAATAAGTTCCACTAGTATCTCGGACAATGCCGCATAAAAATCCTAAAACGCCCGATAATGGCACCTAATACAGCTCGTGCCACGATGCGAGGCATTCTTGGCGTAAAAACCACACAAAATCGTCTCGAGAGACCGGAATGCTCGTGGTAGAACTCTCGGGATCACAGCACACGCAGAATGGCTTATTTTCCACTGAAAACGAACGGTTTAAACCGCCGAGAAGCAGAAAATAGGCGAACACATCCCGCGCCGCCCGAACATTCGAAAAACCCACGTTGTATGCTATGCCACTACGTGGTGATCACATTGAAAATGAATAAAATCGTTTAACTCCGTTTCCGCAAGAGAGATACGGCGTAACTCTACTGAAAACACAAAATCAAAAATTTATTCACTCGCGACAACCAGATATAAGGAACAAACACGCATACAATACCCGAAAAACCCATCACCAAAAACCGAATACAAACTCACCTGTGGCTTTTATGCCACGTGCTGTTGAACGACTCGGCATCCACCACCAAAAACTGGCGACCGCTCCGGTCGCCTTGATCCACCTAATGAACTCCTCAATCTTGGCCTCCAGGATGCTTCGCTGTCCCAAGATGTGCCACCGAAATCGACACCTCTCTCAAAATGCATGGATTATGTTCTTTCCTGGCCTTTGACTCGTCTGTGACGCACACAACATAAGTAATGACGGAATACTACTGCTCCGCGAGATTCTCGCCAGGCACGATGGCGCCGTCCCATTTTTTACTACGGGGTTCCACCACGCGACGGCCATGCGGCCCGCACCAATTCAATTTAAAATCTTCCGAATTTCCACGAAATGATTAAATAGACGCTTTTTAGTGTAAACGAGCGAATGTTAGGCGCGATAAAATGCTTGTGAATACAACTACCACTGCGAGGTCGTCTTCTCGAAGATTGTCGGGGCAGAAATAATAATTAGAAAAGCCTAAACCCAATTTCTAACTACAAGATAATATTTTCGAAAGACAGCCACGACAATCCTAAGGCTTTCCACGGCCGCAAAATTTCCTTAGGGCTTTCACCCGAGACCAAAACGATAATAAATTTCCTTCCCACGATCCTTTACACCGAGCGGTAGCATTCCAGCTTCTCCTCCACGTATCTCCGGAGATTAAATGAAGGGATGCACCCTCGAAAAAATACGCTTAGCTCGGTAATGTCTCGGCCCTAAAAGATGGAAAAGTTCTCGGTCCCCCACATTCGACATTTATCCCCGACGCGTACACTCTCTAGATTAATTTTCTCGACCATAAACTCGACTTTCGTCGTATCTCCGACTATATAATTCCTCAACAAACGCAAAACAAAAGAAAAGTCCTACTGACTCGACAATAAAATAAGGTTCCTAAACTCCCGACGATGAATCTCCTTACGTACTCACGCATCACTTATCCCTAATTCTGCGGATCTTGGTGTCCCTAAGGAATCTCCGCAGAAGTCCTCATAAATTAATTTTCCGAAAGTATTTCGGAAACCTTGAAGAGATGAATAAATTTTTGTTCAAATCGTTTTTATACTGTAGATCGATATCTACAAAAAAGGTATGAAATTTTTTTCACTTACCATAGATTCATAGATATTCAGCTATAATACCCCAAGACCGTCAAAATTATCGGATATTTCCCGAATGTTTTGTTCCATAGCAACGAGAGGGATTTTACTGCAAAGCTGATCCCGATCGTTGATATGCAGGAAAACTTGAAGAAAATATCCGATGAATTTTGAAGGTCGAGGGGTATTCGGAGGACAATTTCTTCAATTCTGATTTTGGCCGATCAGGGTGCAGTGTTCGGGGTTACGGGACACATCTCACCAAAATGTGAGGAATATCTGTCAAATTCGTAGAAAACAATCGACAGGCTACAGGGAAATTATCAGTGTGAAACGCGTCACGTGACTCCCAATACTGCACTCTGATTGGTCAAAATCAGAATTGAAGAAATTGTCATTGAAAAATCATCTCCAGATTCAGTTGCTGACAAGTTTTTTCACAATATCTCATGATAAATGGTAAATATCGTTTTCTTGGTAAGAACATTTCTTGTAGGGAAATGTCATAATCTTGCTCATAGGTTATTACCTTCAGGAAATGAAATGTCTACTGATCAATGCTCAATAAATCATAAAGAAGAAAATCGCTTTCTTGAATTTTATTTATTTTCCGAAATGGGTACATTGTTGGTGTTTCATCCAAATTAAAAGAGAATTTTTTTTCTCAGCTAACTAAATTCGATAAACTCCCTCTTTCATTTCACAAACCATTGCTGGAACGAAGAAATTTCATGCAGCCATTGCTGAGATTTGGAGACTGTGACTTTTAAAGTCTACACTCATCTTTCTTCATTTAGTCTATAATTTCCGATGAGAAATAGGAAGAACTTTTCACATTTTGAGGCCACTTTTCACGTACAGAATTGCTTGGTACGCTCAAATGGACGACACCTACAATAATCAATGTTATTACTCGACAGTTCCCTCACCAGATTGGATCGTCGGTGTATCGGGTCTCGAACTCTGCCTATCAAACTGTTCATGGATAGAGCACAAGGAGCTGAATTTGTATCCGGTGGATGCAGGTACTGATGACGGAATTACTTATATGGTGAGTAAAAAATATCAAGTTACGCAACAGCGTATATATTTAAAGCAAAAAATAGTAAAGGTGAATCGAAATAGGGATGGGCAAAAATATTCACAAATGAAAACAATAGTTTGAAAATAGCGATTTTGGAAACGATCCGCCTAAACACTTGGTCGTCTTTATATGACCCTTTCATTTAGTTTACTCAAAGACCTTGTGACTGTAACTGTAGATTAACTTTAACGCATCAAGCCCAGGGTCATCCGCAATGTATATACCAACCCGTGAATAAATGTCCCTTTCCAAAATTGAATGTTTAAAAATATAGTAGTTTACTGTTTCGTACAAAGACTGTTGTCAAAACCAATCTAATGACTTCGGTTATTACTAATTTTCATTATTTGTCATTAAACGTAAGTATCCCAATCGTTTTACTACTCGGCGGCTGGTGAGGTAAGTGACGTAACCCCACATAGTTAAGGGGATAGTAAACTACTACTGTCCGGCTTGGCGTACAGAATGAGCCATGACTAATTGTTTTTTCCAGCGGTTGTTGTCTGGTAGTTTTACGTCTACTTATTTTCACTGAAAGGGGGTGGGTAAGTTGCCCGTGGAGTTCTAAACCACTCTGCTCTGCAAGTACGGGATATTAGAAATGAATAGTTGAACACAGATTTATATAACAAATATAGTTCTCTGTATTTAATTGATTCTTCAATAGTCCACAACTCGAGTTCACATCAATTTCGCAATCAGATTACTTTGTCAAAGTCTTTACAATCATGTATCTTTTCCACTTTGAACTTCACAATCGAGATACGCGATGGCGTATAAGCCAAGCCGCATCTGAAAACATCACAAAAACGACGAGAGCCCAAGTCTCTACATACAACACAACTTCCGCTTCCAATAACGTCAACTGATTTTCCATAAACTAATAAAAAATGCTGTCACTAAGACGAAAAGTGTCCTTAGTTACACTATAAAATCACCAATCCGCTTCCCACTGAGGCAGTTATCAATTTAATTCGTTCAATATTGACGAAGATATGTACATAGAAACGAACTATCATGCACATTCTTCGCGTTCTTGTTATGTTCTAATGAGAACGGTCACACTCGAGCCATTGAGTTGGCAGCGCAATTCGAATTCTCATTTTTCGCATTTAGAAACTGTCAACCGTGTCTTATGTTGTATAGTGTCATGGAGAATAGAGGGAAGGAGGTTAAACAGCTGCTGATGAGACCCCTAAAATGATGTTACGCAGCATGTAGTTCACATTGGTTCCGATGTTGGTGGCAGTAGTCACTCACGTGGTAAAACAGATTATTACCATTGTGAAATTCATTCATTCAGAGAGAGGGAGAGATAGAGACAGAGAGAGAGACAGAAACAGAGCCGGAGACAGAGAGACAAAGAGACAGAGAAAGAGACAGAAAGACAGAGACAGAGAGACAGAGACACAGAAACAGAGACAGAGAGACAGAGAGATAGAGACAGAGAGACAAAGACAGAGAGACAGAGAGACAAAGACAGAGAAACAGAGACAGAAAGACAGAGAGGCAGAGACAGAGACAGAGAGACAGAGAGACAGAGAGGCAGAGAGACAGAGACAGAGAGACAGAGAGAGAGAGAGAGAGACAGAGAGAGAGAGAGAAAGTACGACGTTATAATTGTCGTTTGTCTGAGGTTCCACTATTCATTCACCCCCACTCTCCTATTCCGATTATCACTTACTGCTGTGTGCATAAGTGAGAGACATTTAAAGATGCAATGTCTATGACCAATTTTTTTTAATGCAAATATTCCATGAAAGAAAAAAAAAAATTTCTATCGAGCATACAGTTGATTCTATGCTCGAAGATTTCGAGGATGAAATTTTTGTGAGTACGAGACCAAAAGGCTGGTGTTCTAATCACGCTAACCCCTTGCTTCACTATTAAAAAAATGCGACGAGGGCGGATTTCGAACCCTGCGCCGCCGCGTGTAACGCCCGAATGTTTCCCCTGAGCCGTTCGCTTCGGCTAACAACGTTGCTCCTAAGCGCTGTTATGGCTAGCAAGTACTAACTTTGGTCTGTGTGTGCGTGGTTTGTTTTTTTTACGTATGTTTAAAGTTTGCATTTATGCATCCCCACTTGATGGAAGGAATCGAAATTTTCTCCTACAACTGGCGTATGGTGGGCTCGTGTTACGAGGACTAATACTCACCAAACTCCTTTCAGACGAATTCACTAAGCTTTATATCCTTCGCAAAGGAGATCTCAGCTCTTTGCTCTACCATATCCTTAGCATCTAGAATACATACTCCTACCCTCCTAGGATGTTGAGTGTGGGTAGAAGGTTCCAAAAGGTTTTTCACACATGCTGCGACCTTCCACTGGCGCTCCTCAATTCTTAGCTCCTTCATGACTACTGCCGCGAAGTCGCTCATTGCGTCTGAGGCTGCCTGTGATGACAGCATTGTTTCCACCAGATTTTCGGGTGAAACCTTCCATCCAACGTTGGACTTCCATGTATCCCGCATGTCACTGAAGCGGTGGCATGTGAAAAATACATGCTCCACGTTCTCTTACACTCCTGTGCAGGTGGGGCACTTCGGGAAATCTTCATGTGTAAATTTATGAATGTACTCCCGAAAGCACCTGTGTCCTGAAAGCATTTGACACAGATAGTAATTGACTTCTCTATAATTTCGACTCACCCAGGCAGCCACATGTGGAATCAGACGATGCGTCCATCTTCCCTTGGTCGAGTCGGATCATTTCTGCTGCCATCGGCTCAAGCTGTTTCGTCTCTCCTCCGTCTCCAGTTCTTTGGAGCTCAGCGTTTCCGATCTCTTCCGCTGGTACAGAGATCTTTGCTCCTCAGCTAGTACCTCTATGGGTAGCATCCCTGCGATGACACACACTGCATCCTCAGACACCGTCCGGTATGCACTGGCAACTCTAAGGGCACTCAGTCGGTAGTCTGGTGCAATCTTACGCCGCGTTTCTTACAGCTGGAGTACGTCAGCCCAGATAGGAATGCCATACCTGAGGACCGACCTAACCACTGAAGACCTCAGCGCTCGTCTTCTTTGCTTGGGACCGATGTTGGGCATGAGGCTTGATGAAATGGATCTGACGCCGTCCACCTGCGCACTCACGTGTTTCGCTTGCTGCTTAAAGTTGAGCCGGGCATCGATCATCACCCCAGACCATCACATGTTCCCCACTCTCTGGCAGGCTTCCATCAGTTCTTTTTGGGTGATTTCTAGGACCATCAATTCCTTCCATCGTTCGGCTGTATGTTGAAGTTCTGGTTGTTGCGGGAACAGCACCTTCTCAATCTCTTTACGGAGTACAGGACACGTTGGCGACGGCATTGTTTGACTTTTGAGTCGTGTCATCACCACCTTGGAGGGTCTCCCCCACGGGTCGCTCTCCATCTCCGTAAGAAGCTCGCTCCAGGATTGCTTCCTGCTGCCTTTGATGGCTTTAGTGAGCTTCCGGCATGCCCTCTTATACCTCTGATGTAGCTCTTCCCAGCTTGGTCTTTGCGGCCCCGCTGAGACAATCTCCTGGCTGTATTGCACTCCTTCCGCAGATTGGCCATGGTATCATTCCACCAGTATACCGGTGGATGCAGATTTGTTGTCCACTTCCTGATCATGGTGGCATTGCAAGTTTCTATTACCCTCCTCATAACACTGCGCGTCTTTTCGGTGGCATTGCTACCACTTATAGGTCGGTCATCTAGGGCTATTGTATAAGCGCTACAATCAAAAGTGCTCACTCTCCAGCCAATACAATTGGTCTTTTTGGGTTTTGGACCGATGCTCAGGTCAGTACGTGTTCCTCAATATATCACACGGTGGTCGCTTACAGTGTAGGTATCAGTTACTCTCCATAATCAGTTTTCCTTTGCAAGGCTGCTGCTTACGAAGGTGAAATCCACAATTGAGTTCGCTTGTCCTTTCATGCAAGTAGGCTCGTTGCCGGTATTCAACAAGACCACGTCCAGCAACGACATGGCTTCCAGTACAGCTAGTCCCTTGGGCTTTGTTTCTATACTTTCCCACTCCACTGCCGAAACATTGAAGTTCCCGGCTATTGCCACGGGAAAGCGCTGCTGCGCATCTTCAGTCAGTGCGTCTAGGAAGTCTGTGAACTCATCGATGGAGAAGCTCTGTGGGGCGTAACAGCTATTGATATAAATTCCATCAACTTTTGCCTTTACAAAGCTACTGTGAATGTTATTTCTGATAGTTCTCTAAAATGGCCGATTTCCGCAAGACAAGATTACAGCCGCCTTGCTGGCATCAGTAACCCAGGGTTGAGTGCCCAGGTGACGATATGGCTCTGATATTATGACAAGGTCAGGTTTCATTTCTTGCGTCGTCTGCATCAATAGGTCGTGCGCGACCTCACAGTGGTTGAGATTTATTTGGAGAACCTTCATCTTCGTTTGTTGAGGAACTTCTGGAGTTCTTTAAACAGCGGGCATCTACTCCTACCAGCACTATGGTCACAATTCTCGCGTATTCTCTTTTTCGGTGCACAGGACACATTGGGGCTTCTTATTGCAGCTTGAGGCCTTTTGGTCGGTTGCTCAGCACTTGAAGCAAAGCTTGGACCGGTCGACTTCACTCGTGCATTCAGTGACAACATGCCCGTAGTGCCAGCACTTGAAATGTTCTCTCCACTCTCCTGATCCGGCAATTGACCCAGCCTATTTAGATTTTACCGTATTCTTCCAGGATCTTGTACACAGTAGTTGCTGCGTACGTCACTGAAGCCGTCTGGGTTCCTCCGTATGCTTTGCGTAGTGACTTGATGGCCCCAGGAGCTATTTCGTGCCCCTCACCAGTGACCTCTTCTAGTGCTCTGAGAACTTCTCCCTGCGTCGTAGTCTCATCGGGGTCCCTGATCTCACGATCTTCTTGTGGCCCCTTAATGAGTACCTGCACTTCATCTCCAAGGAGACTAGCGATGACTGTACGCAGCTAGGGGGCTCCGTTGGTCGTCTTCTTGCTCCGG